TTTTTTTTTTTTTTTTACCAGAACTCACCTTACAACATTTTTTCATATTTTCAACATGATGTTAATGTTGTGCTGTGCGTAAACACGGATGATTCAAGTTTTTGGGATGACAAAAACCTGCAATATAATGTAAGTTGGAAAACTACTAGCTATTTATAAGTATTTAATTACATAACCGCTTAATGAAGAAAGAAAATACGAAGCCTTTAGTGTGATAACATTTTTCTTTTCGACCCTAAAACGCGCAAAATAAAACAAACCTGTCCACATGTTTGGATAATTAGGCAATTTGGATATTAAACTTACAGTTTTTCATTTAATGCGTTCAAGAGTTCATCTGTCACCATTGCAATCACTCGAAGAAATACACGTACGTGTTTGAAACCCTAACATCTGACCGTTTACAGTGGGTATAGGTGTCCATTTTACGCACTCACCGTGGTTTTCATCGTGGTTCCGTCCAGCTGCTGGTCGTTCACTGGCCGCTGACTCTCTCACGGTCTCTGCTCCCTCTGCTGCTCTTCCCCCGGCTGTCCCCCATCCAAAACAAACTCCGTTTATCCCTTCATTCACTGACACTCCCCCTACCCGACACACACCTCCACCCCCCTACCTTCACAGTCTGCACACTGCTCCGCTGAGCCTGTTAGAGAAATAGTTCGCCTCAAAATGAGAAATTAAGTCTTTTCACCTCAGTGCTCACTCACTTGTTCAATCTCCACTGAAGTTGCAAGACTCATCTCTGCTTTCTTATTTAGATTACATCTTAAAAAAAAAAATAGAGCTGATGTTGCATATCCCAAGTGCATTATCCACAGTATTCACTGATATAGACTAATGTACAAAGAGCTGTCTGCATTTTAATTTGAAAATCACACACACAAAGAGTCAGGCTTGTTAGATCAGTTATATTTCTGACAGGGCTTTCAGTACAAATCAACAACAGTATAAATGCAGTCCACATGGTCTAAGCAACTAAATGTCATTAAAGTGTATTCCATTCTCATCCCATTTCCCTTAAATGCTCCATCACATCACCAACACATAATCGGCTACATGAGGTAACACACAGCAGCTGAACTTGTGCAACACAAGTCATATAAGAGCACATTTTTCTCCCAATAAGACTGAATATGGACAGAAAAAAGAAACATCAGGTAGAAGTGATTGTGGTCCCCTGAGCTGTGCAGTGTTATTACTGTGCTCAGTGCCGGGCGATACGCATGCACACACACACGCTGTGTATTCAAGCTCATGGGTGTGTGTGTTTGTGGTGCTCCTGCATGCAGCCCATTCCTGCTCACAGTCTGATGCACACAGCACTCTGACTTGAGTGGACTTTATGAACAGATTGTGATTAGACAGACTGTCCTAAAAGCGTGTTTTCTTTGCACGCACCACAGAATTTTTCAAATGAGCAATAAGCAAGCCTGCAATGCATCCCATCAGTAAAACGGAACAATATAGTTAGCTCCTTTGGACTAATTTATTATGATTTATAGATTGTATTTGTAGTTTTTGTTTGGTAAAAATACAGCAAATCTGTAGCTGTGAACACTGACAGTATCTGTCGTACTGCGTCACGTTTTATTGCAAATGTATCAAGACTTGGAAATAACCCTGATCTGTTAATGCAGGCATTTCCACAGCTGTGTAAGGACATGGTCAAATGCATTGTTTTGTTGTTGTTGTTTTTAACAGTACTTTTTTAAAAACTGTAAAGAACTAAATGCAAAGCAATATGCTGCAAAATGTGCCAGACTGACATCGTCTATGTTAGCTCCACTCCTGGTTACAATCGGCTTAATTTTATAACCCATGAACCCAAAGGTTAACTGATGTGTATTTCTATATTTTTTGTTATTTGTATCACTATTTTCTATAAAAAATATAAGTCACAAGCATAAGTAGAAAAATAAAAATTAAGAGATTCTGGACAGTCTTTGTCGTGCCTTCATAAAATATACAAATCAGGAGTGGAGATATGTTAAGTGGTCGTCAGAGTCCCTTGTTCAAGTGTAAAGCGTCCCTGTCGGTGAAGAGATGAATGTCAGTACAGTGTGCGTCTGTGTCTCAGTGATGGTACTGGCAGTGGGTGATCACTGCGATCAGTGCTGGTCGTGACACTTCTTCTTCAGTGCATCCCTCAGCCTCTCTCCAGCACTGCCGCAGGACTTGAGAGCTTCACTGTTCCTGCAGATACAAAGAAAGAAATGTTTTTTTCCCCCCCCCAACAGGTTACAAACTGTTCCACACTACATTTAGGCTTTCATTCATATTGACTGACAAGTAAATCAATCACTTGTCTGGATAAAAGATGATCGTACTTGGAAGTGAAGGTGTGAAGCAGCGAGGCATGCTGCTGGGAAAAGTAATCCTGCTGGACGGCGTGTTCCAAACACAGCAGCTGACCTGGGACCAGTGGCACCTTTTTCATCTTCCCCTCTCCCTGAGAGACAAGAGAGAAAAGTGCACAAATATGAATTTAATTAGTAATACAATTTCATATCAAACTGACAGAAAGGAAAGAAAACCAAGCGAGGACTACAGGTGCCCTGCAGAAAAGCAGACTGAATGGATCGGCTGTTTTTCTATTGAACTATTTCAGATGATGTGTGTGAAGAAAACAAACAGCAGTATGTAAGGTTTAACAGGAGAGGGACTCTTAAGTAAAAGCCTTTTCACAACCGGCACAAATATTGTCTGAACTAGGACTAAAGAACAGAGTTTAAATATCCAAGGAAACGCTTGTAGACAAAGGCGCTCTGATGCACAGCTGTTCATAAAGACCTTTAACTTGTACTTGCATTCTTATCAGCTCCCTTTTAACAAGCATCAATCTGACAGCATTACATTTATCGTGAAGTGTTCTGTATGTCGTGGTAAAAGTTGTCTGCAGTGCAAGATCATTAAAGTTGCTATTAGAGGTGTGATGGTACAGAAGTCACTGGGCAGTGCCAGTTTTGTACAGCGGGGGGAAATAAAAATAGGGATACCTTTCTTTACATCTCGGTGATGCCATTAAGTGTGCCTTACCATGTTCAACGTGTTCCCATTCACATAACCTACAACAGTGGAGCCAAACTGTTACCAAACACCTGATTTAAAGGACGCAGGAAGGTCGCCCAGCTCCTCCGCTCACCATAGTGGGACTGACTCAGACGCCTAGTTTGTTGTGCTAGCGCCATACAGCTAAAGGTTTATGGGTGTACGTTATGCTTGTGAACTTTGGTTCTGCGTTACAGTGTAGTCTGTGAGCAGTGGAGCATGAATACACGAACCGTTACAGCCCTCGTTAATACGTGTAGAACTTTGTGGTTTGAGTCTTTCATATTATAAAAATTAAGTCCTGGTGTCCAAATTTACGGTTAGGGTACTTTTACAGTTCTGTACCTTGAGGAGTCCCATCATGACCAGCAGCGTGGAGAGGAAGCAGTGTGATTGGAGGGCTGAAGCAGAGAGGAGCTTCTTTAAGACGGCGTCTGTGGTGGGAAACAGAGTTAGAGGTTATTTAAATGAGACATCAG